CTTCCATTTGCTTTAACTACTCTCAAGGGCAAGTTTCAGAGTCTCTTCTGACATCCATTTTGGTCTTTTCTTCCTTTCTCATCTTTTTAATGACCTCTTGCTTTCTTCATGGATGATGTTCTTGATATCATCCCACAATTCTTGTGGATTTTGGTCATTGATGTTCAGTGCATCAAATCTGCTCTTTGAAGGGTCTCTAAATTCAGGAGGGATGGATTCAAGGTCATATTTTGCTTCTCATGGACTTATTGTAATTGTTTTCAACTTCAAGTTGAACTTGCATATAAGCAGTTGATAGTCTGTTCCACAATCAGCCCTTGCCTTCTTTTGGCTGAAAATATTGAGCTTTTCCATTGCTTCTTGACACAGATGCAGTCAATCTGATTTCTGTGTACTCCATCTAGCGAAGTCCACATGTTTAGCCACCATTTGTGTGGTTGAAAAGAGGTATTTGGAATGAATAAGTTGTTCGTCTTGGAAAATTCTATTATACTATCTCCAGTGTTATTTCTGTCACCAAGGCCAAATTTTCCACCTACCAGTGATCCTTCTTTGTTTCCAACTTTTGCATTCCAGTCACCAGTGATAATTTACACATCTTGATTGCTTGTTCAGCCAATTTCAGACTACAGAAGTCGATAAAAATCTTCAATTTCCTTATCTTTGGCTTTGGTGGTTGGTACTTAAATTTGAATAACAGTAGTATTAACTGATCTTCCTTATAGGCATATGGATATTATCCTGTCACTGACAGCATTGTACTTCAGGACAGATATTGAAACATCCTTTGTGATGATGAATGCCATGACATTCCTCTTCAAATTGTCATTCCCAGCATAGTAGATCATATGGTTGTCTGATTCAAAATGGCCAAAACTGGTCCATTTCAGCTCACTAATGCCTAGGATATCAATCTTTATCCATTCTATTTCATTTTTGACAACTTCCAATTTTCCTAGATTCATACTTCATACATTCTATGTTCTGATTATTAATGGAAGTTTGCAGCTGTTTCTCCTTGATTTGAGTCATGCCACATCAGGAAATGGAGGTCTTGAAAGCTTTACTTTATCCATATCATTAAGTTTGGTTCTACTCTGATGAGGCAGGTCTTCCCCAGTTATATTTTGAGTCCTTTCCAACCTAACAGGCTCATCTTCCTGCACTATATCAGACAATATTTCTGGGCTATTCATAAAGTTGTCTGGTAATGTAACAGACAGTGTTTCTCTGCTATTCATAAGGTTTTCCCTGGCCAGTTCTTTGAAAAGATGGCCTCTTCCTTCTTCCTATTCTATCTCAGTTTGTAAACTGTATTGAAACCTGTTCACCATGTGTGACCCTGCTGGCGTTTGAAACACCAGTAGCACAGCCTCAAGCCTCACAGCCATACAAGCCACCACAGTAAAAAAAACTGACAGACAAGTTCATCTCTTTTAGCTATTCAAAACCTCTCTGCCCTCCCCTTACCTGACTCCTGCTGCCTTGTCATCCTTGGCTTTCCCTTCTTTCTGCCTCTTGGATGGGGCCTGTCTCCCTCTCCTTACCTGGGTCCCTCCACCTTGTCATCCTTAGCTTTCCCTCCTTCCTGCCTCTTCGGTGGGGCCATAATATACTACACAAAAACATTGTTCTACATCCTACTTGGGTGAGTAGCACCTGGGATCTTAAAAGCTTGTAAGCGGCCATCTAGATGCAACGATGGGTCTCTCCTCATCCAGAGCAAAGAAGAATGAAAAAAACCAAAGGTGCATGGAAACAATTAGTCCAAGGCACTGGTAGACCATGTGATCCTCAGCCAATATGACCATGAGACCAGAAGAACTAGTTGGTGCCCAGCTACCATTGTCAGCCACTCAGGGGGGAATCAGTGCAGGAGATCCTGGGTAGAGTGAGAGAACAATCTGGAAAAAAACTCAAAATCATTAAAAAAAAAAAAAAAAACAACAAGTTTGCTGGGATGATAGAGCCTGGTGAGACCCCTGAGACTATGGCCCCTAGTCACCCTTCAGGTCTGGAATTGAACTCACTCCTGCGGCTTCCAGCCAAAGAATAAATAGGCATATGGAGTGAATATTTACATCAAATAGATACACTACTTGGAACAATCAATCATGGGAGAACAGAAGGGCACTGTTTTGCATGGGGAGACAGCTCAGGAGGGCAAAAGTACATGGGAGAAAAGGACATAGGGAAGAGGTAACTATGCAGAGGAAGTGGGAAGAGAGCTACTACATTGTGGGGTACTGAAGTCAATGTCATAAGACAAAATGGGTATGAACTGTTGTATGGAAAATGAAATTGCTTTGTAAACTTTCACACAAATCACGATAAAAATTAGAAAATAAAATAAAATAAAGAATTGATGTATTTGAATTGTGGTGTTGGCAAAGAATGTTGAATGTAGCATGGACTGCTAGATAAAAAGGCAGTGCTTCGTTTTGTTGTAGATAGGTTCACTATGAGTTGAAACCAACTTGACAACACCTAACAACAATATGCTTGTGATGATAATCCTATGTGGGAATTGGTTGTCTTTGTTATGTTAAATAGTCAGGGTTAGTGTAGGGTGTATCTTGAATTAATCTCTTTTGAGGTGTAAAAGATTGAAAAAGTGAGCAGAGCACAGATAAGGTGAGATAGATGCCAAGACCCATGGAGATCACCAACGAATGGGAAAGCAGAAGGTTAAGAGAAGAACCTTCCTCCAGGGCGGAAAGAGAGAGAAAGCATTCCCCGAGAGCCAGCACCTTGATTTCATACCTCTAGCTTCCTAAACTGTGAGAAAATAAATTTCTGTTTGTTAAATGCCATTCATAGTATATCTGTTATAATAACACTAGATAACTAAGACGATGACTGTGGCGGCAAAAATATGATTAAGTTGTAAATGACTGTAATGTAGTTTAAATTTTATGGTTGATGGTATTAAGTCTGTAATAGATAAAATGTAGAAAGATGAAAGGAAGATGTTCAGCTATACTTTCATACATTTAAGGTTTCATTCTAAAGTATACAAGACATCCTTCAGAATGTGAATAATCAACATAGCTAATACCTGCAATTCAGACTTAATCTGGAGAAGATTTGATTTTATTTGCTGCTTAAAATTCAAGTTATACATTTAACTTTGTTTTTAAAAAGTACATGATGCCTAATTGAATCAGGTGGAGTGTGTAACATCTTCCTTCCTTTCAAAACTGGGAGTTATAATTCCAATGTCGTAGTCCTACCCTCAATATAGCTTCTCTTAGTGATGCAAAGTCTGCTCCAACACCTAGTGCTGGTCTCCATGACCACGACACTCACCAACTGTCCAAGACCACACCAGTCCTGCCTATCATCACTCCAAATTATAAAGCCTGGATCTAAAATATACTTTCTGTTATTACTCTCCAACCTACAGGATCCCAAGGAGCTTCTGGTTTGCCCAAATTAAAAATAATGAAAATATAAAATTTGGAAATTTTTTCATTCATTTTTTATTTTATGATTGCTCACCTATGAGAGTAAGCTTTACAATTTGATTTTCAAAAAGTAATAAGATAAGTAAGAATATAATGTTTTGGACTCTAGTAGAACTATGTGTGTGTGGGCATGTGCATATGTGTACATGTGTGGGCATGTGCATATGTGTACATGTGTGGGCACATGTGCATATGCATATGTCCATGTGAACGTGTGTGCATGTTTGCACTGCGTATGCATGTGTGTGTGTCTAAAGTTAGGATAATAGATATAGTCACACACTTCACATAGACATCAGTCATGGTTGTGAAATTCTGTTTTAAGAAATTATGGGTCAGGCCATTTCTCCTCCAAAAAGCAAAAACAACTGGAGGGAAGAAACCCTTTTTGCTAATAAGAAACCCTTTATGCATGGTTATTTTCTACAAGAAGCCATTTGCTAATGCATTAATATTGTAATCTCTTGTCCTTTGTTGCCCACAGGCAAAAACTGGGACCTGACTGCAGCTCTGAGTGACTATGAGCAACTCCGACAAGTGCATACTACCAACCTGCCACATGTGTTCAATGAAGGAAGGTGCCCCAAACAGCTGGAGCGAGACCCGCCACCACCCGGGCACAAGGTGGAATGGCCCTGCCCACAGAGGCAGGACGACATTGCCCAAGGTATTGGCTGGTTGAGGAACTGAACCTGGGACTAGTCCTGGCCAGCGTGCCCTTGCCTGCAGTGGTGTTGGGATGGTGCAGAGGTGGACAAGTTTGTCCCTTTCTACCTGCAGACATGTTGACCTCTTAGTGCACCATCCCACATACTAAGCTGAAATGTCCTTTGCAGCTTCAATTCATGGCTCCTACCTTTCCTTCAGAAGAGAGTAGTAAGTTCAGTTTCTTAGAAAACCAACAGTGCCTTACATGATTAGTGACCAACATCTTGGATTCTTCTTGATGTCCTGGTTTTTCCAGACCAAACATCTCTAGTTCCTTATTTTCCAAGTAGCATGGTCTCAGAGTTAGCTGAACATCGTGCTCATTGTCCCATGTGCTCCATTTTCTCTATTCTTTTCTTAATTACAAAAGTGAGAAATGCTTATCACAATACATGAAGCAATACAAAGATAAATAAATAAAACATAAGTGATTTCTTTTCTCCACCCTTCCCCAACTTCACACTTACGAAGTAATAACCAGTGATGACATGCTGGTCTGTCTCCTTCTGCCCCTGTAGTTCAAAATTCAAACACTTCAGATACAAAACACTCATAATATTTTGCAACTTGATTATTTCACTGAATAAGAGACCATGAACATTTCTACATTTTAAGCAGATATATTTTAACATATTCTCTTAATGACCAAACCCGTTGTCATCTAGTTGACTCCAATTCATAGCAACCCAATGTGTGTCAGAGTGGAGTGAACTTCACAAGGTTTTCAGTGGCTGTGGTCTTTCAAGAAATAGATCACCAGACCTTTCTTTGGAAGCTCCTCTGCATGCATCTGAACCACCAACCCTTTGGTTAGTAGCTGTTGAAAAAGCAGGGAAGCTGCATCTTGTGACCTCTTCTAACCCCACAAGAGGAAGACAGAATCACCATCAGTAGCCCAAGGCCTGTTTCTGTGAGACCAAACATGCTGCCTCCCTCCAGCCCTTTCACCAACCCTCACACAAAACCGTTCCTCCTGCAGCACCCACCACCTCTCTACTGGGTTCGATAATTTGCTGCAGTGACCACAAAGAACTCACAGATTATGGGGTTTATTAGGGAAGCACTAGACTATAATTCAAGTTCTAAAATGCACTTGGTCGCTTGCAGCCAGCCGTCTCACTCAGGAGCCAGCAGTCTCAGTAGCACATCACTCTCTCAGTAGTATGTGTCTCTTGCATCTCTATCTCAGCAATGCGTGTCTCTCATGTCTCTCAGCAACATGTGTCTCTCATGTCTCTCAAGAGTGTGTTTCTCTAGCAGCATGTCTTTCTCAGCCAGCAGTCTGAGAGACTCCTTCTGCCTCTAGAAGGGCTCCTTTTTGAGCCTGACAGAGTGGCCAAACTCTGTCCAATCCCAACATCAGAATTCTATACATCTGAGGGAGAAAGAACTTCCCAGAATGTTACTTCATGCCACTCTCAACAGAAATACCTCAAGTGGATAACTTTACTATCAGGAGCTACTCAGTTGCTCATGGCAAATTTCACCAGAGTTTACAAAAACTTATGGCTAGAAAAGCCACAGTATGTAATATACTACACTGCAGTAGCTGGCCACATAACCATTTGCACTACCCAGGGATTCTATTCTTTAAATAACTACATGTTATTCCATAAACTCACTGTCATCAAGTCAGTTCCAACTCAAAGCGATCCTCTTTGGGTTTCTGAGGTGGTAAATCTTTATGTAAGTAGATTGCCCAGTCTTCCTTCTGTATTATTCCATAGCATGCAAAAATCTTTAAACTATTCTTTTATTAGTATTTTGGGTGTCCTTGGGTTTTATTGTTTTTTGTCTTGTTTTGCCACTACAAACTATACTGAAATATACATCTGAATACCTATAATCTTACATACATTTGTTTTTGAGTTTATTTTTGTAGGGTAGCATTCCAAACGTGTATTTGCTGTGCCAACATCTGTGTGCTTTTTTCATTTAAAATTCAGCATTACTGTCCCAAATACATGCTGCTCACATGTATGAAAATGGATGTTTTTCCTTCATTCTTACAGATCTATTCTGAAGGATGAAAAATGGTATCTTATTTTAATTTTCATCTTTCCATTTTCTCATTTGTTGTTGTTGTTGTTATGTGCTGTCGAGTCAGACCCAACTCATAGCAACCCCTCCTTGGGTTTCCGAGGCAGTATCACTACGGAAGTAGATTGCCCCATCTTCCTTCC